TAGCTACATGTAATAGGAATAGTCCATGAGAAACAATATTTTGTTCATACATATGTACGTAAAACATACAAATAACAATAAAACCTTGAACCTTGAATCTTACCTGAGGGCATTAGCTGATAGCAACACAGAAATGTTCCATCTGATTAGCTTATCATGCCATTGAGCTCCTCCTCAATACTGATACTGTGTATGTTCATTCCTGAATGTACTGTGAATTTGACTAACTTTCTCTTAAGATGCTAAATAAACATTTGTTTTATATTTTGAGAAAGACACATATTTGCTACCACTCTCATGTCTGTGCGTTAGCTCAAATATGTGAACCAGCAGCCAGTTAGTTGGACTTCGAAATGTGAAACCGTTACTCTGGCTCTGTCCGGAGGCAACCAAATCTTTCTACCAGCCCTTCTAAAGCTCCATATGTCATATTAACTCTTCAGTTTTTGTATGTATTATATTAATGAGAAATAGCATATTAACAAGTGAGCTGTAGGTGCTGGTAGCTATGTCTCCTGTTTCCAGCCTTTATGCTAAAATAAGCTGACCAGACCTTTATCTTCTCATCTCATCAGCGGGACATGAGGGTATTTTCCATGGTATTTCGGTAAAGAAAATCCAGTGAAATTACTCCTGTTAAATAATTGTGACTGATGATGTGCCAACTGATAATCAAAGCATTTATATTTACTCAAAAACATTTTTTTTTAATTTTTTTTCATGATTGTAATTAAGTTTTTTCCATTCAGGACAAAGAGGGGCAGATTCAATAACTCAATATCCTCTGTTGAAGAAGTGACACATTCTGACATAATGGTGGGTAATTGTTTTGTTTTGTTTTGTTTTGTTTTGTTTTGTTTTGTTTTGTTTTGTTTTGTTTTGTTTTGTTTTGTTTTGTTGTGTTTTCTCTTCTTTTCTTTTCTTTTCTTTTCTTTTCTTTTCTTTTGCAACTGTTAGAATAAATAAGGATATTTTTTTTCCTGATATGGTTTTTCTACTTAATGTTTGGACTTATTATGGCCTATAGATAGATAGATAGATAGATAGATAGATTGATAGATAGATTGATTGATAGATAAAAAGTCAAACTCTTTCGTTATCCAATGGTCATGAAACCTGGAGGCTAATGACGGTTTTTCAGCCGAATAAGACACAAGACACGACACACAAGTTTGTTTGTGCTGATCCTTTGCATATCTAATCCTACAAACTGTGCAGTCATACAGTTGGTAATGTTAGCTTACAATGACTCATGTATTGACAGAGGCATTTACAGTCAATTCATTTAAGCTTTTCAAAAATATAAACTCTGACAGGTGTCACTGTGCACCGTCTCCTGACTTTACCTTAATATGAGAGAGAGAGACGGAGGAGATGGAGATGGGGGGTGGGGGTGGGGGTCGGGGGCACATTGATTGTACTGTCTCTCCTCCCTCTCACACTGGTTTCTGATGAGAGGAAATTTTGAACCAGACTGAATGAGCTGGTATTTCAATAGTGCCATCTCCTGGATAAAGTTGTGTATTGTACTGTCATTAAACTTCTTCGGGGATCATGCCCCAACAAATTTTCATATACAGGTATCGGTACATAGTTATGTTCTTGGTCTGTTTTCACCTTTCAGGCTTCAGTATGTCAGTCAAATTTACTCTTCCTATGCCATTCTTATATTCACATTTGAAGTTCATCCAATAATGACACTTTTCTCCCTAACCTAAGACTAATAACAAACACATTACTGATAAGAACAATTTAAAGGTGGATAAAAGCTATGTATTTCTATGACAGGAGTGGATTTATCTAATTTGAACACATTAAACGCATCTCCCATTATAGCGCTACAATAAGGGGGAGCATGTTTATGAATGCTGATGAAATTACAATGTAAATGACATGCAATGTTGGAAATCTAAATATTTCCCTGGTATATTAAAATATGTAATCAAATGACTGAGGAGACAGACAAACTAGTATCAAATGTACCAAAGAGTGTATATTTTTAATTTTGTCACCTGTATGTATCATATCCACTGAAGGGATATCTTAGTAATAGTAATAGTCCGCGAGAACATATGTATCCGTTCATACATATGTACTGTATGTCATACATACAAATGACAACAATAAAACCTTGAACCTTGAGTCTTACCTGAGGGCATTAGCTAACAGCAACACAGAAATGTTCCATCTGATTAGCTTGTCGTGCTACTGAGCTCCTCCCTCATACTGATACTGTGCATATTTATTAATGGATGTTCTGTAAATTTGAATAACTTCCTCTTATGATGTTAATGAAAAGATTGGTACCAATCTCATGTCTGTTTGTTATCTTAAATGTGTAACTATAGCCAGCAGCCAGTTAGCTGAACTGGCTCTGTCTGGAGGTAACAAAATCTTCCTACCAGCCCCTCTAAAGATAAATACTAGCACTGTTTGAGTAGTGAGGTAATTGTATGGCCACACCAAAATGACGAGTGCACTACGAGAGGTAAGTGCATAAATATGGTGAAATACTATGTGGATAAAAATCAGGTTTTGCAGCTTTGTTGTTCTGTTATAATGTGACCTGGTGACATCAGTCTTTGTGTTTGAAGTCACATACTATAATGGATACTGGAGGAAAATACAGGGGTTACCTTTACACATTCCAGTTTAGCAGGAGTAGTGCAGAGCTCCGATCTGATTGACTGAAGTCTGAGGCTCTGTATTAATTAATGTAAGATAACTGAATGTCTCTGGTGTTTGAATTGGGTTTGTTTTTTTATTTCAAAATGTCAGTATGGAGATAATATTGTTTGGGCAGTGTATCACGGTGCACCATGCATATGTCAATTGCTTGCACTTCAGATTAGCAGCTACAACAAGCTTTTTAAATGATTTGTAAATGAATCAAGATGCATAGGTCATTTGGAACAGATAAGAAAAAACTAAAAAAAGGTATGCCACCCACTTTAACTTGTAAAATTACACTTCACTTAAGCAACTTTTTACTGCGTGTAGAATGTGAGAGAAAAGTGAAAACTGTGAGCTACATATTTGTTTATGATAAATAATTAACACTAGTTTTTACTGGCTACAACCTCAACCTAGAAGCAGTACAGAACAGCAATGTTTGGGTGATGAATATGTATGAAATAATGTGTAGATTTTAATCCATTTGCATCTTGTATACAATGGACATTGTACATGACAATAATGCCTTTAGATCCATAGATCTTTGTGAAGTTGTAAGGGTATAAGAACATCCCTTTTTTACATAAATAAACATAAGTGAACCTAAACTAAAATGATCCCACTTTGTAGCTTTATGGCCACTTGTTTATGACTGTTAGACACCAGAGGTTCAGGATTCAACTCTCACTGAGAGTCAGTGGAAAAGTCTTTGCCTACTGTATAGTCTGACTGAAAAATCCAGATATTGTAAGATGATTGTCACTTATTTACATGTTTACCTCAACAGATGTGCCAAATGTCTTCGTGAGGCTGTTTTGGAGTTTTTTATCCACAGAGACACCTGGGGTCCTCCTTGAAGTCTCCAGAGTTACAGCACTCATCTAAATAAGAGGAGAACAGGCGAGGGATGATCAGAATAAACAAGAAAGGCATAAGCAGAGATAGTAGATGTTATGCGGCTAGTAGTAGTTGTTGTAGCAGTAGTTGTGTTACTAGTTGTAGAGGTAATAGTGGAGGCAGCAGCTTCAGACATAGCTGAAAACTCTGTTTTGATTTGTATAGCTACTAATCGTTTCCTAAAATCCCAGTATTTCATATTTGATGATTAAAACATAAATATTGAAATGGGAGCACACTTTGGGTTTTAGATGAACCTCTAGCACTAAAACAACATTACGAAGTGTGTATTTAACTTAATATAAGTTAAACTCCTCTCACTCACCAGTGGGACCAGCTGAGCTATGTGCTGTGCCACCAGGTATCCAACACATTCCTGAAGGATGTGTGAAGAAACAGACAGGACTCTCTCCAGCACAGCTCTGGGACCGAGAGCCTCCTCCAGTGTTCCCAGGACTGTCAGCCATCTGCTAAATGAGACAACGTCCATAATATTATGGGAACATGTTAAACTGATGCATTTAAAACTGCTTATACTGGGCTTTCACAAAACCTGCAAAAGTTTTTGGTTAATTTGCTATATAGGCTATATTCACGATGCGTAACTCCATCCTTAAGATGAAGAAATAGTCATTATCAATATAGTCACTTGCTGAACTCTTAAAGAAAAGGTTTCATTTGAGGTAGAGCCCTGAGCTGTTTTAGTATTAAAGCCACAAACTATTCATTATCTATTTTATCCATATTCAATCACGTGTTAAATATTAAAATTACTATAATCTTTCATTATTTGACTAATCAAAAAGTTTGTTTTTTAAATGTCTGGTGATGGAGGATGATGTTGTGTCAACCTTGATACCATAGATACTTGATAGAATTGTGGATGATTTTATTGTATGCTGCCATCTGGTGGTCACAGTGTTGAACTATGAACTACAGCTCTGCCTGTAATGGTGAGCACTGTCAAAATAAAATTTAGAACAATTCATAGATATAGTTACGCATTGTGGCCATTGGAGGCAATTAATTTTATAAGATGGCAGCCATCAAATCCACTTCAGCACAGGGCTTCCATGGTCAAGGCAGACGCAATAGCACTTCCGGTGAAGACCTTCAAAATAAAGGTGACCTTGGGAATATGGTGTTCAAATCTGACTACTACACGCCGCAAAGTATCAGCCTTTGAAAGCAGAAAATCGTCACTTGGACATCATCGTTTTCATTTCCCAGTGTTTGTTGTTGTTGTTGTTGTTGTTGTTGTTGTTGTCCCAGCCTTGCTATGAACCAGAGTCCAAGTTTGAAATGTGCAAATAAAGTTTAATGAAAAAAAAATGCACTGCCTCTTTATGACGTATTTTTAAGGGGACAGAGGGAGGGCGGTTTGAAAGGAAAAATGAAAATTTTATCAACATGTTTACAATAAACCAAATTACCCGATAATGTCGAAGTGACTGGTCGCTGTCAGTAAGATGCCTCATCTGCAAGTTAATTGAGACTAAACGTTGACTTGTTTTCGGCTTCTTCGCAGGACTTAGCTGATGTTCAGTGAACTTGGTACGTTAGCTAGCTCGCTGCTGCTTGTTTGACTGTTGCCTGTCTTAACTTTCCTCTCCGTTAAACGTTGACCCAGTGTACGTTAAAACTGGTGTCTTTCTTCGCCGTAGCCTAGTAGTAGTAGTTGTAGCAACCGTAGTTAACCTACTGAAGATGGCGAGTGTACATGAAAGTTTGTATTTCAACCCAATGATGACGAACGGAGTGGTCCATGCTAACGTGTTTGGCATTAAAGACTGGGTGACTCCGTATAAAATCTCTGTGCTGGCGCTGCTGTATGAGATGACCGCATCCAAAATCACTCTACCGGAAAGAAGACGACTGAACAAGCTGATTCTGCCCCTGCAGCAGGTTTGTTTTGTTGAATCAGTTGTCTTGCACTCCACTGTATTGAAGCAGGTGTCTCATAGCTGTATCTTCTGTTTCATGTGGGGTTTATCAGGGTCCAGATCTGACTCTTGGCCAGTTCCTGCAGACAGTGGAGGAGTGTTGCCCTCAGACTGCATATGCTGTGAAACTCAGGTGCTTCGGCTTGATACACACCGACTAGATTTAATTGCTTTGTACCCATACAGTCTTGTAGTTATGTTAAAAATCAATATTAGGCTCAGACTACTGGGGCTTTCATGGTCTCCATAAGTTGTATCACCTCATAATAATATAGCTTTTAGCAAGGGAAAGACGATACATAATGACATGATACTTAGAACCCAAACAATATAATATCACAATAATGTTTAAATATTGACATTTCTAGTTGCTGAGGCTATTGTTTTTCCATCAGGCTGCATGAAATGGCAGATGGAGAGCTGAAAGACATGGAGTACTTCTTTTCCACTCTTCCCACTCCATTCACCGCTTTTGATTCTGAGGCTTATAAAACCAGTGTTGTGGGTGAGTAGGGCACATGATTTGTCTGTATTATTCTCATTAAAAAGACATTAAGCTGTGTCTCACCTGTTTTTTTTAGGTCTTTTTATGAGGCACATGCTCCTGGCGTACAACAAGCTGTCCTTCAGTCAGGTCTACAAACTCTACAAGTCTCTGCAGCACTACTACCACAGTCACTATGCCAAGCCGACCGATGGGCAGGTGGGTTTGCCAGCGCTGGTTGCCGACGACTCTGATATGGACCTCACCAGCACTGAGGACAATGTAGGAGACAGAATGGACAAAGAGGACTTGGACACACCATTGCATGAGTCAGAGCTTCGGTTAGTGATGCTGTTGTTGCATAGTTATATAAACTGTTCTACTATCATTGGGCAAACACGCATATGTCTTCCCTGCCTTGATTGTGTGAAAAACATCTAAATCATGGTAAATATAAACTTGTTTTGATGTTAATGTGATTTGGATGATTTTTACAGCAGAGTCTTGTGTACTATTTTGGTTCTAGAAATGACAATGCTCCAAGCAGAGGTCCCCTCTCACAAAAACAAGCAGAGTACTTTCTTGCAAGACAGGTGAGTGTTTAAATCAAGGCTGCAGTGAACACAAATGTATTAGTGCCATCTTGTTTAAACTAGCAGATTTGACGCAATAGGAAAAATTTTAACCATCAACATCCTGTGTCAAACCTAGATGTGCTATTGTGGCACTCAAAGGCCCTTACCTTTTTTTTTTTTTTTTTAAAACATCTGTCACCAGGCATATCTTCTGAAGAATGATGAGAACAAAGCTCTAAAGCCCGCTGCACTGCAGGAAGAGCTCAACAACATGCTGAAGTTTAACCCCGATTTTGCTGAGGCGGTAAGACTCATCACCCCAACTCATTATAATTTTTATGTTTTATGTCCATTCATAATTTACCAGAGAGAATCCCTGGGGAGGGGGTATGTCCTTCATCAGCTATATGGTCATTTCTCTCTCCTCAGCATTACCTGAACTACTTGAACAGCATGAGAGTCCAGGACATCTTCCTCTCCGCCCACAGTCTCTTACATTATTTTGACCGCCTCATCTTGTCCGGAAGTGAGGGAAAGAGCAACGGGGATGAGGGCTATGGTCGAAGTCTCCGCTATGCTGCTCTTAACTTGGCAAGCCTGCACTGTCGCTTTGGTCACTAGTAAGTACACGTGCTGGGGCAATTCTGAGTAGAAGGACAAGTTCATAAATAAAGTATAAATGCCTTAATTATATAGATGTTTTTCCTTTCCCTTCCCTTCAGTCAGCAGGCGGATCTGGCTCTGCAGGAGGCTATCCGCATTGCCCAGGAGTCTAATGACCATGTGTGCTTGCAGCACTGTCTGGTAAGATACTTTTTTCTACTGTTATTATTATTATTTTGCTTCCTGTTACTGTTGTGTCACCACTGTTGACACCATGATTCATTATGCCTGAATTTAATGAGTGTGCCTTAGATTATTTCTCCCTGTCTCTTTGTGTCTTATACCAGAGTTGGCTCTACACACTGGAACAGATGAAGGGATCTGACAGCACAGTGTTAACTGAGGATTCAGTGAAAATGGCTGCCCATTTCTGCCTGCCAGTGAGTTTTGCATAAGCTCTTAAATAAGTATGCATATATTAAACTGGCTGTGGTTGTTCATTATTTTTTAATTGCTTTGGCTCAATTTTTATAACAGCTTCAATTTGCATGACGTACCACAAAATGCAATACCTCAAATTTTTGCATAGCACACACATTTGTAGCACACAAAATAAAAACAATTGTATCAAATTACATAAAACATTAGCATCTATCCAAATCCTACTTCCATACAAGGTAAAACAATGATTGTGACTGCACTAACCCTTCACTGCATCAGTTCACTGTGTCTGTTTGGTGACGACCACAAAGTTTGATTTTATTCCAGACACCAAAGCTTAAATAAATCAATCCACAGTAGGTTTAATATTGTAAAATACAATAAGCTTCAATAATATCAAAATGAATGAAAACATAAAACATTAAACTACAATTTACACTATTGTAATTCTCACTAAATACTTTGCAACATTTTGATGGAAATCAAAACAAGTTATATCTCTTTTCCATTTTTTACACTACTGTGATACATATAGTGGTGATGAAGTGGTCGAGGTTATATTAAGATAACACATGTTGCATTTCTTCACTGATCTTAGCACTTAGTAATGAGGATTTGATCTTGTGCAAATATTACGTGTCGCTATTCTGAGGACTGAGGTAGAGTTAGTGTTTTGCACTTTGTCTTCAAGGACAGCATTTTGTGAGGGAAGCAGAGAATTTCATACATCAGTTTGGTTCTTTGCAGCAGGTGTTTTGCACATTGTAACTGGTGAAAAGTCAAAGAAATAGTAAAATACTGTAAGAGATGTTCTTTATGTAATTATACTGCATGTACAGCTGTTACACAGTGGCTTTTGGATAAACATATTAATTGTCAGCAGCACTTTAGTACCTCTCATTATAAGTTCCTATTTAGCAATCTTGACTCAGTTGTTTTAATAACATAATAATAACCTACTGAGACTAAAAGAACGTTTAATGAGTGCAAATGAAATAGTAAATTAAAACATTAAGCGAAACAACACAGAATGCATCATTTACCACGTGTCTTGGCTAAACCTGCTAAACCTTTTTATATTTGATCCTTCACATGCGTTATCCACCACACTGACTGATAATCCTCTCTGTTGTAGTACCTGGCATCTCTGGGCATTCAGTCTTTGGTCCAGCAGGGGGCGACACAGGGTAAGACAGCACACAAACTGATGGACGCACTGAAGGACACAGACATCCTGCACTGGAAGCACAGTCTGTCGGAGCTGATCGAGATCAGCCTGGCTCAGACTACGTCCATATGGAGGATGTACGGCAAGAGGTCAGGCTCATCACCTTGCCACCCCACCACACAGTTGTCACTTCACTTCACTGTTACTGTCAGTAGGCTGCATGCTAGCTCACAGCCTTCTCCCGACTCAAATTAAATCTGCCCTGTGAAACACGACTGAAATATCTAATATTTTTATGCATGGGTTTAAAATTTTCTGAACATCTTCTGTACAAGTCAGGCTTCGCAAGAGCATAAATACAGCAGCCATAGACAAGTCATTAATGTGGCTCCCTTTGTCTGGTACAGCACCATGGCTCTGCAGCAGGCCCAGCTGCTTCTCAACATGAGCAGTCTGGAGCCAGTCAACTTCAGCGTCCAGCAGAACAACACAGAGGCGTTCACCGTGGCTCTCTGCCACCTGGCCGAGCTACACGCTGAGCAGGTAACACATTTGATTTGATCTTGTCTGTCTGCTTTCTGCCCCGCTGTTGCATATCCATTAGTTCATTGGCCCAGTGTTGCGGGAAGGTAATAAATATTGATCAGGTCTGTTTTCCAGCTCCTGGGTAGAGTTCAGCCCTTAAATCTTTTGTCTCCTTTTGTACCTTTGTTCTGTCGCAGGGCCTGTACAATGCAGTTTCAGAGATTCTTCGGCATCTGAAAGAGCAGTTTCCTCCCCACTCGCAGCATGCCAAGGTGTGCTCCCTAAATTGTATTATTCATTGCTGCCCTACAAAGGCTATGACTGCAGAAAGAGTGAAGTTGAGGAAAAATGTGCAAGCTCACTAGTAAACACCATAAAGGATGAGAAAGTTGTTTCGCCTTCAGTTTTTAACCAAAAAAATAAATCATTACCATAGAACTTACATATTACAATACCACAGTCTGCCTTTAGATAATGACAAAACAAAGTACTAGTAGAAAATGCAGTATCTACCAGAATGTCCTCTTTGGTGTCCAATTGTCTGACATTATTTACGTCTAGTGTCTATCTGTCTACTATTAATATTTATATTTAAATCAATATAATGAATGAATTTATATTTTATTATATTGACATATGTGATTTAAATGTAGGTAAACAACGAATTCTACTGGCATAGAGTCAATAGCTGAGATGGCAGTTGCTGCTATTCCGCTAAGCTAACGTGGTTGGCAGGAGTTTAGCTCAAGTTTTTTTTCTTCATCATGAGTAGATTTAACTACTGCTTCATTTAATTAAGTGGGATAGCAAATAAAAGTGCCAACATTTATATGTTGTTATGTTTGTCTATGTTTAGGTAAAACACATGTCAAAAAGTCATAGTTAATGAGAGGAAATGTAAAAAAAAAAAAAAAGATGTTAATTGTTTTTTTATTTACCTTTCAATCTCTGATTCAGCTCTGGATGCTGTGCGATCTTAAAATCCAGTTTGAGAGACATATGAACGAAGGAAAATACCACTTAGCGGAGCTGCTAGTCACAGCCATCTCTGCCTTAAACAAAACAGAAGGTCTCTACAGGTAACGCCAAGGCACAGATCTTCAGTTCTAATCTTAACAATGGCTGACTCATTCAGGTGTAAATTGTGCCGTGGCAGTGATGATGTGTTTATTGACAGGAAAGCTCAAGTTCTGAAGGCTCTCAACCGCAGCACCGAGGCGTACAGCATCTTACAACAACTGCAGGTTCGCTGTGAGAAGACTAAATGTACAGAGATGGTCATCAGGTAGACGGCCACTTATGTTGTTACAATTACGCATTATGATGACATTTTCTGATAACATGATGAACTGTTTGCTGGAGTGTAGAGGAGAGTGAACACACCTTAACTTAATCTATCTTAGTTTTTGTGGAACTGAATTGACTCATCTTTTTTAGGGCTGTCATGAATATTTAATGTACGATGTTCACATTATGCATCATCTTAAGAAGCACTAAGTGTTGTGGTATAAAAAGACTGAATAAAAAATAAATGCCTTTTCCAAAAAAATTTTTTTTTTTTTTTTTCAGGGATCAGACCAAGTCATGTTTTTATTCTTGTCTTTATATCTCATACAGAGTGATGCTCTCCACTGCTGAGCTTCACTGGGAGTCGTCTGGCTTCTCCACAGCTCTCCCTCTGCTCCTGCAGGCTTTGGCTTTGGCCAGACAGCACCACCTACAATCCCTGGCCTCAGAGACCATCCTTCACCTGGCCTTTACTCAGGTAATCCACAACAGAGAAACAGTCTTCACTCAGATTCTGTTACAGCTGTCATATATGCAAATCACCACAGACGTTATGTGCGGTGAGACAGCTTTAAATGCTAAATAAAAGCAGGACAGGCGTGCACGCATTGTTTATTTATTGTCTTTTTTGTCTCTCCTCTCTTCAGCTCATGCTGGGGGTTCCTGAGCAGGCTCTGAGTGTCCTGCATGAAGCCATTGAGCCTGTCCTGGCCCACGGAGCAGTCATGGACAAGGGCCGAGCCCTGCTGCTGACAGCCCGCTGTCAGATGGCGGTGGCTGGGTTCAGGCCAAACGGACAAGGGCAAGCAGGTAACAGCTTCAGCCCCCCTGCTGAACACTGATCTCTATGTCACAGAGTCATGTGGTTGTTCAATTACATTTATACACTGCTGCTTATTGTATCCCTGCAGATTTGCATTTGGCGGTGTTGGCTGTTGACACGCTAAACGAGGCTGCTGCCTATTTTTCAAAACTGAACTGTAAGGAGCGGCTGCGTGACGTCCACTATCTGCAGGCTCAGCTCCACCGTTCTCTGGGACAAACTTCACAGTGCAACAAAAGTGCCATGCTCTTCCGGCTGCTGGACCAGGAGCTGCAGTCACCAGCACCACCAGTGTCCATGCGACTCTAACTGCTCCTTTTTCAACAACAAACTCAATTGTTTTTTTTTTGTGCTGCTGAGAAGGACACACACCTCCTCTACCTGCTGAGCTGAGTCATTTCAGCTCACCACTAGATGGTGGTGAAACTCTGTTCCGCTCTCTCTCAGCTCTAAAGGATTTCTTTTATAAATATTTTGAAGTGGAGGTAATTGTGGAACTCTTTGCACGCACTGCCAGGATAATAATTAAATAGGACAATGTCCACAGAGATAAATAAGGCTGAGTTCCCAGTAGATTAAGAATGGGTCTATTGTCTCTTCACTTGTGGTCTGTTACAGATTGAATGATAGCCTGTTAATGAACACATGTTTTTAAAAGCTTGTGCCACAGCAACAGTCCAGTTTTGTCTGACAAACATACATGCTAGGCCACGGCACCACAGAAACAATGAAAGTTTATCAGGAGCTGTCACAGCAGCACTGATTTACCCACCGCTACTTGATGAATGAGGGTAATATCACAGTTAGCTACAAGATGAATGTGTTTCAGTGGCCTGGATGATTCATATTCCACCAGAAGAATACTGATGAAGCTGGAATCCAGAGGAAAGAAATCGTGATCACATTTATAATGTAATAGACTTGCGATGACAGAACAGCAGATACTGTATCTGTATTCCACTTATGTCTGACACGATTTGTGAGAACCATTTTGGCTGATAACATTACATTTGTTCTGACGGACCCATAATCCATTACTGAAAGCGCTTCTTTCAAAAAAATAAACGACTTGTTTCATCTAATTTAGTTTTCAGTTAATCTGACACAAGTATAAGAATAATTGTAATAGGAATATGTCTGCAGTTGGAATATCTGTGTGGTACAGGATAGTTAAAGTTTCAGCAGGGTTTAAACTTACTAGTTTTGTTTGTCTTGGTGCACAAGCATCTCTGAGGTTGGTGGTTGAATGATTGGAGCTGTCCGGCCTTGTTGACAGGAAATTTCTGTCCCATTTACAGCCTGTGCCGGCCCCCTGAAAGGTCCTGTTGAATCAATTTAAGTGCCATGTTTGACTTTATGTCATTTGCTGCTTAAAAAGCAGAAAGTAAACAGTAGGTAGAGTATGTGAGCCAGGTCACAGGGTCAGTTTAGGATAAACTAACGCTTTTCCGTGTTTACATAGTGCAGAGCTGAACATTCAGTTTATACTTTTAACCCAGAGAGAATGCAGGTATGGTGGTGCTGCAGTGGGAGTTAAACCACTAATCATTATCCATCAAGTTTGGCAGAACCATTTACCGCAGAAAGCTTCCTATTTGTATTTGACGCTGCTGGTTACCAAAAGGCTTTCAGTGCAGCAGAGCAATTTCCATGAGTTGAGAGAATTCTTCCATTAGTGACGAGATTTAAAAAACAGCAACTGAAAAGATTTTTTTTTTTTTTTTAAGCTCTGAAAATTTATGGACGACAAAAAGCTGACATTTTTGAGATTGAAGTTTTTACCTAAAGGCAGTGAAGCATTCTCATTGTTGCTGGTACTTGGTTTTTCATTTGCTCAAAGAGCGCACAGATATTTACTGAATACTGATTGAAATTCACTGAAGAGTGAAAGTAAAAAGGGGTCAGACTCTTCAGGGGTCCTGAGTCCTCCACAGCTTCTGTTTATCTTTTCTGACCATAATTGAACCCATTATGTCCTAAAAAATGTTTTCACTGTATTTTTTTTAGTGCTGAAATGGTGAGTCAATCAACAAAATCAATGGAATCAAATCCAATTTTTGCTTTTCTCTGTGTTAGCCATGCTACTGACATGGCAGTAGGATGGGTCTATTGGTCTATTGGTCCACCACTTTGGTCTTGACTGAAATGTCGTAACCACTATCCGTGGATGGCCATGAATCCTAATGACCTTGGTGCTAGCCTGACTTTTCCTCTAGTGTCATCATCAGGTTAACACTTTTGGTTTGTAGTGACATTTCTTAATAGCTATTGGATGACTTCCCATGAAATCTGGCACGGACATGATCATCATTCATGATCTTCCTCATGATGAATTTAATGTAGATTGGGCATCCCTTGACTTTTAATCCAGCACCTTCATCAGATCAAAATTTAGATTTGTCCAGTTCTTTGGTTTGTGACCCGCAGTGTTAAAGACATTTCCATCAGCCTCTGCTGTACTCGGTGTTAAGTGCTAATTAGCTAATGTTGACATGCTAACATGCATGTCATAACATAACATAACATAACTGTACTGCTCAAAGTACAGTCTCCTTGAGTTTTGAGAGCTAACATTATGTTTTACAAGGATGTTTGCATGCCTGTGTTAGCATTTAGCTCAAAGTACAACCTCCTTGAGTTATGACAGCTTGTCAAACAAACAAGAAATTTGAACACGTCACTTTGAGCTTACGAAAATGTTTTCATGGAACTTTTTTGTGGAAATGTTTTAAATTAATTAGTATTAAACAATTAATGGATAATGGAAATAATTGTTGGTTGTAGTTCTTGTGAACATCTGATTAACTGTCCTGACTCACTGTATGTGCCCTGGATTAAATGTATTTACCACAATACATGAGGTTCTGAACTAACACTGTAGAACAAAACCTGACTCAACACAAACTAAAAGATAAGATATAGTGATTTCATGGACCGGCATTCCCGCACAGAAACAGCACAGTTTCTATGGTAAAATATAACATCTTTGTTCAAAATGTTTAATAACAAGCATGGCAACAAACATGGCATAGGAACAATGCATGTTTAGAAAAATATATCTGCAAATGTATTTTTCAGAATACACTATACATTCACTTAACCTCTACTCGATATTAAACATTTACAATTCAAAAAGTAATAGTTTCACTATAGAGTCACGGTAGAAAACAACACGGTAAGTTTCTGCTAAATAATGTTCTTGCAGGATCGACTTACATCAGGAGAAAGATGTAGGTAGACATTTTGGTAAAACAGGCAAACAACCTGAGGTGTTCTTATATTTAAGTGATGTACCTGCTTGCTGGTCATGTTTTTAATTCATGGTTTTTCACCAGTTTGACATGAAACCCAACCCCTCTCCCCCGCCCCACTCCTCCCCTCTCAGACAAACTGTCCAGTTATTGACAATAGTTTTTCCTTAGACAATAAAAGAAATAAAAAGAAAATACTACATGGACAACCTACAACCACTCAGATTCTTACCTAAAACATAGTGAAGAAACCTAAGAACTTTTCTTATTATGACATTATAATTTGCCTAATATTTGGTACTTAACTTGTTTTTAATATGTTGGATACTGTATCATGCAGGGTTATTATATAAAGCAGATGTGTTTCGGTCTTTCGTAAAACATCTCCTTCCTGACCAGTATCCAGTAGTGATGATACGGGAGTCAAACTAGGTGCAACCTCTTATTTTACTTCAAAACACAAAAATAATGCCAAAGTAAAAAGTAATGCTGAATCGTTGAGTTGGAGTAAAAGAGGTATTGAAATGGAGTCATGTTCCATGTTTGAGTAAAAGAAATTCATCTCAGAGAAGGATTGGTGGCTGTGTCTCCGTAGCTTAAACACTGCTTGAGTCTTCAGTGCAGGCACCTTTTGTGTATAGTGGCTCTGTCCAAGTGTCTTTGAGGAGACGTTCCAGGCTGACAGGTCAGAGGAGGCCCTGAAGTCACGCTCAGTATCCTGCTGGATAGCCTCCTTTCCTGGGGTCAGACTCTGCACAGAGACGCTCCCCCTGCCGCACCACCGCCTGGACCACAGAGTCTGGAGTCCTCAGCAGTTGTGTTACGTGGTTCTTCTGGGCCAGACCCTCCAGGACACTCTGCCATGGTACCATCACACACACACACACACACACACACAAACAAACATGTAGATTCTTGTGCAGGAGGTTAAGGTATTACTGTTCTGTGATAGAGGTCAATAACAGGATCTAAAAGGAACATATTCTCCATCATGTCACATTAATATCCTTGATTATTGTTTTCTAATGTCACACATCTGTGGAATGATTTCCCACCTTTCTAGCACCCAGTACGCTATGAAAATCAACTTCCATGAATCTCAAACTTGGTTGAGATGGGTCATCTATCGGAGGAAACACTTGGTCACCTTTTATTTGTTATTCTTGCCAGTTAGATTTGGTTATTTCATGATGTCCGGAGGATGAATCCCAGTGAGTTCGGTGAGACCCTGACCTTCCCTCTGTTCTCTAGTTCTGTACCATGAGATTGACATTTTTTGGTTTTCAGTAAGATCTTCCAACAAATATGACATTTGGTGCAGACATTCACGCCCCCCTCAGGATTATTTGTGGTGACTTTGCTGATCCCATCACTTCTCATCTTGCGCCACCATCAGGTCAAAATTGTAATATCTCCAAAACCACAGTTGATAACTGCAAAACGAATGACAATCCCGTCGTACTTTGTGTTTACCGCTACTTAGAAAATGTTAGCATGCTAACACAATAGCATGGCTATAGTGTCTTAGGACTGCTTACGTTTTATTTATTATTCATAATTATGGTTGTCGTCCTGTGATGATGCAGGTGACAGAGGGGATTGTTTTTAAACGTTTTTTGTTGGTGAATTTAGATGATTGATACAATCTCAAATACCAAACTGAAGTTAGTATTATCCCAAGTTTCAAGCCTTTGCAAGTTGATTTTCATACTGTCGTGAGCTGAAATGAATGGTTGTCTGGGCTGTAGACAATCAATCAAAAAAGGCATGGTATGCTTTGCAAAAAACTCTAAGTTTGTAGTCACATTAGTATGTAATGAGTAATGCTTCATTAATCAGCAACACCAGAGGCTGCTTAGTGATATCATATATTCCATGATGTTGTTTTGCATCATAAGTCTCCACCCACCTTTTCAAAGCCCTGCTCCACCACTGTCATATTTGGGTTGAGCTGATTGTGGACTCGTGGCTCCGTCACGGCTTTCTTTAGGTCATAGTTAAAGAACAGGGAGTTCAGGATTACCTGTTTTTGGCCAGAAAATGCAAGACGTTAAATAATTAAGTGTGTGTGAGTCTGTGGGATGAGGACGCATGTGAATGAATCAGACTTACTAAGGCGGTGGCTGTGGTGATTTTTGTGCCCCCGGACGCTCCTACAACCATTTTCACTCTGTTGTCTTTGTCAAAGATGATAGTGGGACACATGGAAGACAGCGGCCTCTTCCCTACAACAGATAAACAGAAGGCTGCTACGACTGCTTAATGGAGAATTGTTTACTTTTTACCTTGTGGTTTCATGGTCCCCACGCAGCATTTTAATACCTAAAGCTGCCACATTAATCTGCCACATATTTAAAATGACTGCAAACAAACCAAAGAGCAGCAGTGAGCCGCAGTTTGAGTGAGAAAATGAGCTTATAGCTCTAAAACTGGAGAAGGATGACTCTGTTTGTGAGCTCCTGACAGTGACAGATGCAGGGACAAATGAAAGGCTGCTGGAAACATCACCTCTGCATCATCCTCACTAGAGAAAGGGTCAAGTCACATCCTCTTTGTGACTGAATTTAGAAACACTACCATCCACCAAAACAGACGTGTCCAAAATGTATAACCTAAACTGGGGGTTGGAGTAATACAGGTGTGACAATTCAGTTCAGCCACACCTGGTTGGATGAAGTTGTTGGGCGAGGGAGGGATTCCAAACCCATTTGTCATGTACGGAGAGCTGAAGTCGTCCATTTCATCGTTGAAAATGATTCCAGTTGATCGAGACATGACTTTGGAACCAAAGCTGGGGAAATAAAACAGCTTTTTAATGAGTGATTCACTCAAAGTCACAGATCATATGCAGCAAAACAAAGGAAAAGCTATATATTTCAAATTCTCTAACTTCTTACTATAGATTAATAGTGCTGGTGGCGGCCACGGCGCTTCCATCCTCAGCTATGACCGACAGGTGAGCTGTCCCATGGTTGTCTGGGACAAAATAGTCTGGCTCGTAGTAGCTGTCTGGGTGAGTGGTGTCATCTGTAATTTTACTTCTTATGCCATCAGCAAAGTAGTCTGAAGTCATGTTTTGGATAAGCTGAGAGGAACAAAACAAGTCAGTTGCAGAGCTGTTTGTCATGAATGCTAAACTAATGCAGAGCACTCGTTCTGGCCATTGTAACAACACAGAAGACACTACCTGGATTTTTAAAATCAGGGCTAAAAAAAACGATCATGCTGCCCTCAAGCAATGCATTTCACACACTATAGAGATGCTCCAAAATAAAGGTCTGAAGGATAATAACAATAACATTAAGGCTTACATCAGTAATATTGAGATAACGTGGGTCCCCGAGTCGGCTCCTCTTGGCATAAGCAAAACGAAAAGCCTCCACGATGCGATGGTATGTCAGAGTCTTTTTCTCTGCTGTAGAGACACTTGTGTCTGTGAAGTTGTACCCTGCAAAATATCCACAGGAAAAATCATGTCTGGAGCAAATAAAGAATTACATTTTCTTGGCCCACTCAGGTAATGAGGCTTCTCCATCATTGTGCTAAAAGCCCATTTCACTCCATGGCAGGTCATTAAAGTCTAAGTCAAATAACAACATGAGCCCTTCCAGCAGATCTGGAATCTAGTGGGGACACGTTTCTCCAGAGTCATATATGAACACATTAAATCTTACCCCTCATTTAAAACTAATGATGCCACTTTTTATTTAAAGCATGACTAAAGATTCTCTGTCTGAACAGATGGGGTGTTGATGGTGAATTCAACTTGGCAAGCAGAACCGAGCAGCAGCTCTGTTTTCTGCTTCCAGACCGGGCGGAGAAACATTTCAGGGACGACCTGGGGAAACCTGACATCCTTTCTTCTGCATGGCTGCACAAGCACTTGGCCAAGCTGCTCACCATCCACTATGTTGAGTATGAGTGCCAGCACAGGGCCACTGGAGGGGGCGTCTGGGACATACATGGTGTATTCCCCAACGTTCAGCTTCAGAGGGTTCTCATTCAGCACAGGCTGGTACTCCAACAAATCATCTAGGGTGATAACGCCACCTGGAACGTGCACAGAAATGAACAGAGTGAAATTTAAAATGAGGAATAAAGTTCTAATAGCTGATTGCTGTATTTCTGTAAAGCTTTGGTTTGAGTTCTGAGCCTATTGACAACATTTGTTCATTCATGTATCTCTAAAGGTAAAAATGAACAGGAGAACAAGACCTGCCGCCTGGATGTCCTCCACGATGCTCTGGGCCATTGACCCGTTATAAAACACGTCAGGTCCCTCTTCTGCTATTCGTTGGTACGTGTCGGCCAGCTTTGGAAATCTAACGATATCATTTTCCTTCAGGATGTTTTTTTGAGAATCACAAAACACCTCACTGGAAAATGAGAAGAAGAATATGAAAATCAGTTGTTGTTTTTTTTTAAATGTATGTTAAAGCCGTTATGACTCAAATTTGAAAATGTGTGACTTCACAGTGATGAGAAGATTAATACATGTCTGTTCATTAAACCTGAAGCTAC